AAAAATTAAAACAAATGCAGCTTATCATGTTTCTTTGTTTGAGCAAGTTTAAAAAACTTTGGATTCAAGATATTAAAATTAAGTTCCATTAAAAAACTGGCTGAAACAGTATTTCATATTTTGAAACTTGCCTCCAGCGAAAGTCATTTTCAAAGCAAAACATATAATTTCAAAAACATTTTGGCTTTGACTGTTCCCCTTAAGTTAGCGCATAAATATAAAAACAAGTTAGCGCGCAATTAATCACTCAAGCACCAGTAACAATTTCACAAATAATATCCAAATCATTCACGCAGTCTCAATATCAAGAGCATATATATGTAATCCCACAGATTCCTCAGAGCATTCATGAATTCTCCACAAAATGTATCCAAAGCAAATAAGTATAAAACACAATGAAAAGTTAAAATTGCGTAAAATGGTTTTTATATCACAATTTGAAATTGTACAAATGGTTTTTATGCCTATAATTGTTCAAAAACAGATTTTGATATTTTAAGCTCCAAAGTCCTTTACAACTTGCACTTAACACTGTGAAAAATTAAAACCAATACAACTTATCGCTTTTCTTTGTTTGAGCAAGTTTAAGAACATTGGATTCAAGATATTGAAATTCAGTTCTATTAAAATCTTGCTGAAACAATATTTCATATATTTAGAGCTTGACTCCAGCAAAAGTCATTTCAAAGCAAAACATAAAATTTCAAAAACATTTGGCTTTGAGTGTTTCCCTTAAGTTTTGCACATAAATATAAAAACAAGTTGACACGCAATTAATCACGTCAAGCACCAGTAACAATTTCACAAATAATATCCAAATCATTCATGCAATCCCAACATCAAGAGCATTTATATGTAATCCCACAAACTCCTCAGAGCTTTTTAAGCTCATAATTGTTCAAAAACAAAATTTGATATTTTCAGCTCAAAAATCCATTACAACTTACGCTTAAAACTATGAAAAATTAAAACCAATGAAAATTATCATGTTTCTTTGTTTGAGCAAGTTTAAAACATTAGATTCAAGATATTCAAATTCAGTTTCATTTAAAAACTTGCTAAAACAACATTTTATATTTTAAAGCTTGACTCCAATGAAAGTCATTTTTGAAGCAAAACATAATATTTCAAAAACATTAGGCTTTGAGTACTCCTCCTAAGTTTGCACCTAAATATAGAAACAAATTGGCATGCAATTAATCACGTCAAGCATGAAAACAACTTCACAAATAAAGTCCAAATCATTCCCTCAATCCCAACATCAAAAGCATTCATGTGTAATCCCACAAACTCCCTAGAGCTTTTTATGCTCATAATTGTTCAAAAACAAATTTTGATAATTTTAGCTCCAAAATCCATTACAACTTACACTTAACATTGTGAAAAATTAAAACTAATGCAAGTTACCGTGTTTCTTTGTTTGAGCAAGTTTAAAACATTGGATTCAAGATATTCAAATTCAATTTCATTTTAAAACTTGCTAAAATAATATTTTATATTTTAAAGCTTAACTCCAGCAAAAGTCATTTTCAAAGCAAAAAATAAAATTTCAAAAACATTAGGCTTTGAATGCCCCCCCTAAGTTTGCGCCTAAATATAAAAACAGATTGGCATGCAATAATTAATCACATCAAGCATGAAAACAATTTCACAAATAACATCCAAATCATTCCCGCAATCCCAACATCAAGAGCATTCATATGTAATCCCACAAACTCATCAGAGCTTTTTATGCTCATAATTGTTCAAAAACAAATTTTGATATTTTTAGCTCAAAAATCCATTATAACTTACACTTAACATTATGAAAAATTAATACCAATGCAAGTTATTATGTTTCTTTGTTTGAGTAAGTTTAAAACGTTAGATTCAAGATATTCAAATTCAATTTCATTTAAAAACTTGCTAAAACAATACTTCATATTTTGAAGCTTGACTCCAGTGAAATTTATTTTCGAAGCAAAACATAAAATTTTAAAAAACATTAGGCTTGGAGTGCTTCGCATAAGTTTGCATGTAAATATAAAAACAAGTTGGCATGCAATTAATCATATCAAGTACCAATAACAATTTCACAAATAATATCCAAATCATTGACACAATCCCAATTTCAACAGCATTCATGTGAAATCCCAAAAATTTCTTAAAGCATTCATGAATTCTCCTAAAAATGTATCTAAAGCAAATAAGTATAAAACGCAAGGAAAAGTTAAAATTGTACAAAATGATTTTTATATCACAATTTGAAATTGTGCAATTGATTTTTATGCCCATAATTGTTCAAAAATAAATTTTGATATTTTAAGCTCCAAAGTCTTTATGACTTACACTTAGCACTGCGAAAAATTAAAACCAATCTAAGTTATCATGTTTCTTTACTTGAGAAAGTTTAAAACATTTGATTCAAAATATTCAAATTTAGTTCCACATAAAAACTTGGTAAAACAATATTTCATGTTTTAAAGCTTAACTTTAGCCAAAGTCATTTTCGAAGCAAAACATAAAATTTCAAAAACATTAGACTTTTAGTACTCCTCCTAAGTTTGCGCATAAATATAAAAACAATATAGCATTAAATAACAACGCCAAGCACCAATAATAATTTCAGAAATAATATCCAAATCGTTCACACAATCCCAACATCAAGATCATTCACATGTAATCCCACAAATCCCTTAAAGCATTTGTGAATTCTCCAAAAAATATATCTAAAGCAAATAAGTATGAAACACGATGAAAAATTTAATTTGTGCAAATGATTTTTATGCCCATAATTGTCCAAAAATAAATTTTGATATTTTAAGTTACAAAGTCCTTTATAACTTACACTTAACACTGTGAAAAATTAAAACAAATATAAATTATCATGTGTCTTTGTTTGAGCAAGTTTAAAACATTAGATTCAAGATATTCAAATTCAATTTCACTTGGTAACTTGCTAAAACAGTATTTCATATTTTAAAGATTTACTCCACCAAAAGTCATTTTCGAAGCAAAACAAAAAATTTCAAAACCATATGGCTTTGAGTGCTTCCCCTAATTTTGCACATTACTATAAAAACAAGTTAGCATGTAATTAAAAAATACCAAGCACCAATAACAATTTCAGAAATTATATCCAAATCATTCACACATTCCCAACATCAAGAGCATTCACATGTAATCCCACAAATTCCTTAAAGCATTCGTGAATTCTCCAAAAAATGTATCTAAAGCAAAAAAGTATGAAACACAAGGAAAAATTAAAATTGTGCAAAATAATTTTTATACCCCATTTTGAAATTATACAAATGGTTTTTACGCCCATAATTATCCAAAAATAAATTTTGATATTTTATGCTCCAAAGTCATTTATCACTTAACACTGTGAAAAATTAAAACCAAAATAAATTATCATGTTTCTTCATTTGAGCAAATTTAAAATATTGGATTCAAGATATTCAAATTCAATTCCATATAAAAACTTGCTAAAACAATATTTCCTATTTTAAAGCTTGACTCTAGCGAAAGTCATTTTCAAAGCAAAACATAAAATTTCAAAAACATTAGGCTTTGACTGCTCCCCCTAAGTTTGTGGATAAATATAAAAACAAATTAACACGTAATTAATCACATCAAGCACCAATATTAATTTCACAAATAACAACCAAATCATTCAAGCAATCCCAATATCAAGAGCATTCATATGTAATCCCACAAATTTCTCAGAGCACTCATGAATTCTTCTAAAAATGTATCTAAAATAAATAAGTATGAAACACGCGAAAAAATTAAAATTGTGCAAAATAGTTTTTATACCCCTTTTTGAAATTATACAAATGGTTTTTACCCCCATAATTGTCCAAAAATAAATTTTGATATTTTATACTCCAAAGTCATTTATAACTTACTTAACACTGTGAAAAATTAAAACCAAAATAAGTTACACTTAACACTCTGAAAAATTAAAAGCCAATGCAAGTTATCTTGTTTCCTTGTTTCAGCAAGTTTAAAACATTGGATTCAAGATATTCAAATTCAGTTCTATTTAATAACTTGCTAAAACAGTATTTTATATTTTAAAGCTTGACTCCAGCAAAGTCATTTTCTAAGCAAAACATAAAATTTCAAAAACATTAGGCTTTGAGTGCAACCCCCTAAGTTTGCTCATAAATATAAAAACAAGTTGGCATGCAATTAACAATGCCAAGCACCAATAACAATTGCAGAAATAATATCTAAATCATTCATGCAATCCCAACATCAAGAGCATTCACAAGTAATCCCACAAATTCCTCAGAGAATTGGTGAATTCTCTAAAAAATGTATTTAAAGCAAATAAGTATGAAACACGACAAAAAATTAAAATTGTGCAAAATGATTTTTATACCATAGTTATCCATAAAAAATCTAGGACTAATCTAATACAACTAATTTAGGCTGCATTTGGCACATATGATTAGTTAAAAAGATAGGATACTAATCATCCTATCATATGTTTGTTATGCACTTAAATAAAAGGATTGAATTATCGAAAGCATTAGATATCCTATGTCAATAAGATAACTTTATCTTTTGAAAAAGTAAAGGATTATTTTCAATATATAGGATCAGATAATTTATCAAAATTTTTAAATAATGAATTTTTTATTTTACCCTTAAATTTAAAAACCTAAACTTTAAATTATCAAATATTAGAAAATATTCTTCACTTTTCAAAGTTTCTTCAAAATAAGCAAGTAATTCATAATTCAAACTTTGATTTTTTTTAACTATAAGCTATAAGCTTTTTAATAATTTTTAAATATAAAATAATATATAATTTTATTTAAATTTAAATTTATTTATTATTTATTTGATGTATTTCTTTAAGCCAAAATTATTGAAGGAATTTATCAATTGACAAAGTATTTAGGCAACTTTTAATTAATTAATAGATGATCTCTAAAAAAATAATCGAGAAATTATATCATTTATAACTACATAAAAATCAAATTAATATATTAAGGTTAATTTTGATCAATAAAAAATATTATCCTATCTTAATCTTAATCTTACACATAACAAACATGATAAAAGGTAAAATAATATTCTATCTTGTTCTTTATCTTTACACAAACAAGCATAACATAAGATATAATTTAATCTAATCTTATTTATACTATTATATTATTCTATACTATAACAATATTGCGTACCAAATATAGCCTTAATTTCAATTGATAGCTTTAATTTACTTCAACTAGAAAATTGCCTTACAGTGAGAATACTAAGATAGATATTTGGGTATACAAGAAACTATTAGAAATAACACCAACTATATACAAAAATAATGGTTGGTCAAAACATGAAAAAAAAAGAGAGAAATAATTAAGATGGTTCAGACATGAGATGAAGGCCTCGAACAGAAAGTTTTAAATAATAAAAAAAGGTAACTGGAGTTAAGTACTTATGTAGCATATAATTCTTAAAACCTTTTAGCAAGCAAGCATCAAATAGCTCAAATAACCAGTTTGAAAGAGAGGATATGAACATTGCAACTTACACTCAGGTGTGTCAACTCTCCATGATTAACAAGGCGAAGAGCAGTCCTCTTAACTCATGACCCTATAAAGGTCCTTTCACTGAACCTGCAGTAGCTAACCTTTTAAGAGCTTCATGAGCAATGTCAGCCCGGCCAGTAGCATCATCTACATCAACAAGGTCCAAAAACTCTTTCGCGAATTTTACTATTCCTTGAACAGCCTTAACCAGATTTTCCTTTTTAGCTGTCAAATTAAGGATATCATTCAAACCAAACCTGGGATTATCCTGTCCTATGTCCTTGTTGTTGCTCATTGTAAGAAGACATGGTAGAGCTCTTTTCAATCATTACTCTTCATGGCTAAATCAAACTCCAACCTATAAAACATAGAATAGCAATGTAATTGAAGAAACCATGGATCAGAATGCAATGCAAGAATAACATAGGACTCTTGCTGCAATCTAATTGGCACAAACACAAAAAACTGCATAATATACTTATAGAGAGTGCTTCAATGTAAACTCTAACAGGCATATAGCATTTCCACCATCAACTTTCTTCCTTTACCTTCTTGAGCAAACAGTGGGATTCAATGATGGAAAAGAACTTATAAAAATGCAATATTTCAAATTCATTTTTCATGATGCTACTTCTGTTGGCTAGAATAGACTTCAGAAACTAGAGATGATAAACCAAAGGAAAAGCACATCGATAGGTTGATACCCCATGACTATTTTTCCTTGATTGCGAATTGATTTTACATATGATTGCATTCCACAATAAATTCAACATTAGAGTCAGTTTGAATATCTACTAATGCAAAAATAAACGACAAAAAGAGAGAGCCACAAGCTCTTATTAATGTGGATGCAAATGATGATGGTGGATAACTACTGTTGGTTTGCAGCAACTATAGAGAAAAAGTAAAAGCAATGGCTTTTGAGAAAATTTTAATGAAAGCTATGGCAGATTATGGTGAAATTTCTGATTGTGAAGGTTAGTTAAGGCCACAAATCAAATACTTGATGAAAATTTTGGATGCAAGTAGCATGTGTATTATTGAAAATAGAAAAAGAAAAAAGAGAAAAAAAAGGGGAAGGCGAAGGAAGAAAAGAAAAAGACAGCGAAAAAAAGGAAATATATATGCACTTATTATATTTCAAACTCAATTGACACATCATATTTTTTTATTAAGAATTTATGTTGCCAAAAAACAAGTGTTCCTTTTGTAAGACATATTTAGTGCCAGCTCATTACTTCAAATTGAGATAACAATCACACACAATTCAAATGACAGTACATACATCTTTTACCTTTTCAGAGCCAAATTTAAAGTAAATGCTACATGTACATAAAGACAATGATACATTAAAGAAATATTATATATATATAAACATATATGTTTTTGGATAAATGAATATTATATAATATTTTATAACATTTGTTACATATTATTAGTTATAATTCCATTAATTTTAAATAAAAATGGAGATTATATGCAATAAAAAGCTTTTTAAATTTGATAAATATCTTAAGAAAATATTTTATTTTCACAGTTTCTTCATGTAAATTTATTATTATGCACATACAATTATTGGGTTTGCATACGTCTAAACTTAATCTGGCCCAATAGCTTTTAGGGTTAAAAATTGTAACTTGATAATTAACCTTTTAATAGTTTCCTACCAAAAGTCCATTTGATCCTGCCCAATATTATACTTTAGTGGCCTACTATAAATATCATTTTCTTCCTTCGACTCCCAGGATCCCATCATCTCCAACTACATAGATCAATATGCCAATTTATTTTTTGAATTATTTTGCTGTATCCATGTGTATCCAACATGTTTCAAGCAATGTAAAACATGTGTTCAACACGAATCCAACATAAATACATGTGTTAGACCCATGTCCATACTTCATGGATACTAAAATTGAACCGATTTCAAGGTGGATGGTAAACTTAGAGCACCAAGATAAGTGGAATGGTAATTTGATCCTTTCCACATCAATAATTGCTCCTATATCATCACATCATTTGCCTCAAAAGAATTAACTTCTCTAATCACTTTATTGACACACTATTGAATTTTCTTACTTGGGATTAATTAAACTCTTAATTACCTAATACAAGTATTTTTATTCTACTTTACTTAAATGGGGTATTTTAAGTCACATCAACACCTTCTCATATTTTAAAAAGATCTTGACAGAAACCAGATACAATCTCTGTTCAACAATTAATTTAGAGCATCAAAGTTCATATTAAGAAATTCTTCTTTTGCTCCATATCTCCATAAATCAACTGAATTGAAAATTTTCAAATGAAGTGCATTCAAGGATATTATTGGTCTTGACAAAAAAAAGGTAAAAAGAATGCAAATTGAAGGTTGTTGAAAATTTAAGTATTAAATTTTTAGTTCTAAAAAATTTAAGCACTGAATTTATGATATAAAAATTGTTTAGCATGCTATTGTAAATTAAATGTTTAGTAATTTTCTTATTAATCTTTTATAAACAAGAAATACAATTTTATAATTATTTTCAATAGTTAAAAGTTAGAAAGAAAAGAATAAATAGTTAAAAGGAAAGAATATAAGATTAATGTAATTAAGTCATATTTTTTTTCCTTGAATGAATTGATACATTAAGTAGATAAAAGCTATTTAGCATTTTCAATACTTTTATTGAAAATCTTCCATTAAGTGATTTTTAAAAATGATTTATCAAACACATTGAAAAAAATAAAACCATAGAAAATTTTAATTTTCAATGGTTTGAAATTTTTCAATGGCTTATCAAACACACATTAACGGTTGTTTGGGTTGGCAAAATCTCACAAGGAAAAAATTGGTTGACAAAGAAGGTGGAAGAAGTCTTGACTTTAGCAATAAAAGAATAAAAGATATGGCAAATGGATATCTAACAGATGGAGTTCTCAATGGGGATAATTAGTCCTCGAAGAAACTAAGAGTCTGCTCAAGCCTTTTGACTTGATTGCTAATTGTAGTGGAATCAAATTTTGAATAAATTAAAAAAAATTTGAAAAAAGTTTTCTTTATGGGCTAAACCCAATTGGGGATATGTAGTGTTTGTCCATAATGCTAGTAATGCGGTTTGTTTTAATTCTATATCCAGGAGTCAATAGGTGGTTGTTAGTACGTTGGGTGCAAGGTAGTTGCATCTCTGCAAAAGAAATGAGGTTGTTAAGAGTAGGGAAATTCAACAGAATTAAAATTTGTACAGAAAGAAAAGGTTTTATTGAGTCAATTTTTGAGAATAAAGACAGAAGGCAAGACCAGGTGATTCAACAGCATTTGTTAAGGAGTTGCTTTTGGTGCTAAGGAAAGAAGATGAGTTTCACCATAGACAGACAAGGCAGTAAGCAGGGTGCCTCTGGGAGTAGGTGCTCATAAACTTGATACAGATACAGTTAATAAACTGGGACTGTAGATGCTTCAGCTCAAGGTTTACTACACACCCATGTATCAATTATTAATATTTTTATTTTTTAAAAGAAAATCAGATCTGGCATTGACATGGTGTTCATGTGCCTTGAAATACCTTATTTAGGGAAATGAGATTAAACATACTCCTATAACCGAATAAGATTTTAATTTCTCTAGTTGAAGAAAAAATTCCACAGTAATTCAGTCCTTGAGACAATGGCTTTTCTATTTTTCTAAACCACTCTGATTCCTTGTCCAAAAAGTACCACACCCTTAGTGCTTGAATAAAATCAACTCAAAAGAGCAGAAACCATACATCTCCAGCTCATTGTCCTGCTATTACATTTGAACCGTTCAACAATTGCCTATTCTTGCACTTGATGCCTCTAGTTTTTTTTCCTGCTATCTCATGTAACAGTACCCCATTCAACCTGGTCCCCTCTGACCAAGAAAAATACCCTTATCAATGTGTGTGTGTGTGTGTCTATGTGTCAATACAATGCAGAAATACAAGCATGTATGATGCATGGACTTGTAAAACTCCATTGTACAGATAACAATGCACAAGGAATAGCAAATAGAAAGCAAAGGCATATGTGTGTGTGTGTAAGAGAGAAATCTAACATAGAAATTTGTTATGGTAGAAACAGAAGCTTATTTCAAAGTTGAAATTGCAAAAAAACCAGCCATAGGAATCATATCCATAAAGGAAATCAAACACAAAATAGGTTGGGCAAACCTCTTAGATATGCTAGTTAAATGAAGTGCTTCAGTGGCATAGCCCATTCCAAGCATAAATTTTGCTACATCATCATGATGTTCTCTGCCAAGCCGGCTTGCCCTGCAGAGGAAAACAATATGAGATTGCACAAAATTGTAATCTCGTTTGAAGTAGAGAAGAAAAATTTTATAGCATTTCACTGCCCTAATAGCATCTCTATAAGCAACGAGACACCGTCAACGAATGCCAGGATGGCTAAGGACAAGGCATGCACAGTCATGTAACTACAAACAGTAATATAAGTGTAACGGAAACCAATATTTGATAATATAAATTGCAATTTTGGATGACTATAATTGTTTTACATTAATATAGGGCATGACATGAAAATAACTTGGCATTTCTAATCAAGAAACCACCCCCAGGAATATGTTCTAATATGCATAACTTATATAATCATGGAACCACAAATTACAGGCATTTCTCGACATCAAATTGGTATAAGAGCTACGGCAAGTCATCGTCATCAAGCACCAACAGAAGATGTTGAAGCCAACACCGACGTTGCAAAAGCTACAAATACTAACCCAAGGGATGCCTTTATAGGGGAAATGTGGCAACAAATCCTTCAACTACAACAATAGTTGCATATGCAAGAAAAGAGAGGAGATAAGGCAGTAAAAAAAGAGGAATCAAGAGGATGAATACCATGAAAACAACAGTAATTTTGACAATGGCACCCCACCTCACCCACGGGAAGTAAGAGACTACCTACGTAGAAACCAACTTCAACGTAGCATGTTCAACTAGAAGATAGCGATTCATAAGTTTGAAGGAAAAATGCAACCTGAGGGGTTGTTAGATTGGCTATACACAGTTAAATGCATCCTCAAATACCATGATGCCCCTAAACATCGCAAGGTGAAGCTAGTGGCTATCAAACTTAGAAAGCATGCATCCTTTTGATGAGAAAATTTGAACAAACAAAGGGAAAGAAAAGGCAGGAGTAAAATTGCAACTTAAAGAAAATGAAAAGAGAATTGAAAAGAAAGCATCTCCCAAACAACTTCCAACAAGATGTCTTCCTTAGGCGCCATAACTTGAAACAAAGAGATCTTTCAATGAAAGAGTATACAGCTAAGTGTGACCATCTCATGTTAAAATGCGAATTAGTGGAACAAAAAGAGCAGACTATTGCCCGATATCTTGGAGGATTGAAGATTGAGATAGCTAATGTGGTACAGCTACAGCTTTATTGGACTTTCAACGATGTATGCAAGCTCGCCCTTAAGGTGGAGAGACAACAAAAGGTGGACCGTGGTAGCAACTTGAGATTTAGGTCCAGAGAAGGCTACATCAATAAAGGTGGCTCATCCAAAACTGTTGTTCCTTCTAAGCCCATTCCAAAACAGCTCAAAAAAAAAAAAAAAAAGATAAAACCTCAACTAGGAAGCCTCAGTCTAGTGCACAAACCAGAAGGTGTTTTAAGTGTCAAGGGCTTGGACACATTGCTTCAGAATGCCCAAATAGGAAGATTGTGACTAGTAGAGAAGGAAAACGAAGAGGAGCTGATTGAAGAGAATCAAAACCTCGAGGAGGAAAAGGTAACCTATGGCAATTTTGGAGCATCCTTAGTCATACAATACAGCTTGAGTACTGCACTTGTTGAGGAAGAAAATTGTTGCATAAAAACATATTCGAAACTCGATGTACTACTCACGGGAAGGTATGTGATGTTATAATTGATAGTGAAAGTCTTGAACACGTTTTTACTTTTATAGTGCAAAATTTAAGCCGTAAAACAATAGATTACCCCCAACCATATAAGCTGTCTTGGCAGGAGAATGAAATCAAGATCAGCAAGAGGTGTTTGGTTCCTTTTTTCTTAGGAAAGTAATACAAGGACGAAATGTAGTATGATGTAGCTTCAATGGATGCTTGCCATTTATTGCTTGAAAGACCTTGGCATTATAATTGGAGGGTTATTTATGATGGTTACCGCGACACTTACACATTTGTGAAGGATGGATGCAAAATCATCCTAGGCCTTACCAAGCCCATAGTGATATCAAAACCAACCAAAGGGGAAGGAAGTAGCTTGTTTACCAAGGTCAATTACGATGGGTGGCACCATGTATGCACTAGTGCTGATTGACGAGAATGAAGATAATAAAGAGCCCCCTGCAATCACAAAACCATTATTGGTAGAATTTTAATATGTTGTTCAAGAAAAGTTATTAGTTATTCTACCACCAATGAAGGACATTCAACACTACATAGACTTTATCCCAAAAACTATTCTACCCAACAAGGTAGCCTATAAGATGAGTCTTAAAGAGCATTAAGAGTCGCAACGCCCAGTTGATGAATTGGTGAGAAAATGAATGGTGCGTGAAAGCATGAACCCTTGTACAGTCTCGCCTTTTTGGTGCCTAAGAAGGATGGATCATGGTGCATGTGTGTACATAGCATGGCGATCAAAAAATCACAATTGACTATTGCTTTCCTATCCCTCGCTGAGATGACTACTAGACCAACTACATGGAGCAAATATTTTCTCTAAGATAGACCTACGTAGTGGCTATCATCAAATCAGAATAAGGCCTGGAGATGAGTGAAAAATAGCCTTCAAGACAAGGGATGATCTCTATGAATGGATGGTAATGCCTTTTGGTTTATCTAATGCTCCTAGTACTTTCATAAGATTTATGAATCATATCCTTAAACCTCATATTGGTAGATATGTAGTAATATATTTTGATGATATTTTAGTGTACAGCAAAGATGAGGACCAACACTTGAATCATCTACATCAATTGTTTTGCATATTGAGGAAACAAAAACTTTATGCTAACTTTAAAGGTGCAGCTTCTTTACTTCTACCCTTGTGTTTTTAGGATTTGTGGTGTCAAAGGAAGGAATAAATACGGATCCTAGCAAGGTTGAAGCAATTTTAAATTGGCCAACACTAGCATCTTTGCATGATATCCGAAGCTTCTATGGCCTTGCATTTTTTTATAGGGGCTTCATTAGGGGTTTTAACTCCATTCATTAGGGGTTTTAACTCCATTATGGCTCGCATCACTGAATGTTTGAAGGATGAAGCTTTTAAGTGGACCAAAGAAGCCCAACACCGCTTTGAACTCATCAAGATGAGGATCACCGAAGCTCCTATCCTATCCCTACCAAATTTTGATCAAGTGTTCGAGGTGGAATGTATTGCATTCAATTCTAGAATAGGTGCTATTTTAAACCAATGAGGAAAGCCTATAGCATTTTTTAGTGAAAGGCTCAATAAAGCCAAGAAAAAGTATTCAACCTATGACAATGAATTCTATGCCATACATAAAACTTTATTCCATTGGAGTCAATATCTCCTTGCCAAGCCATTTATTATATATTTAGACCATAAGGCCTTGAAGTTCATCAATAGCCAGCATAAGCTCAACCGAAAGTATACAACTTGAGTTCCTTTAAGCTTACAACTTCCCCATCAAGCACAAATTGGGAACTCAAAATGTGGTGACAGAAGCTTTGAGTCGAAAGCACTTCTTATTGGGGACTATGGCTGTTGAAGTTATTGGATTTGATGTGATCAAAGGACCCTATGAGGCAGGCCCTTACTTTGGCCAAATTTGGGAAAAATGCAAGCAAGGACCATAACCAATTTTTGTTGCATAATGGATGCTTGTTCAAGGCTAACAGCCTTTGCATTCCTTCATATTCCTTGAGAAACCTTAATCAATGAGGCTTATGATGGTACCCTAGGTGGACATTTTGGAAGGGACAAGACACTTGCTCTTTTGCAAGACAAGTTTTATTAATCGAGAATTGAGAAGGATTTGATGAAACACCTTGAACGATGTAAAGTGTGCCACATTGCCAAGAGTCATGGTCAAAACATTAGATTGTACACTCTACTGACTGTGCTTTTTACGCCTTGGGAGGATGTTAGTTTGGACGTTTAGACATTGTAATAGGACTACCAAGAACTCAAAGGAACAAAAACTCCATCATGGTAGTTGTGGATCGTTTTTCCAAGATAGCCCATTTCGTTCTTTGAACCAAAACTATAGATGCTTCTTATGTTTCTGATTTGTATTTCAGGATAATTGTAAGGCTACATAGAGTTTCTAGATCCATCGTGTCTGATCAGGATTCTAAGTTTCTTAGTCATTTTTGACACACTTTTTTTAGAAAGCTTGGCACCAATCTCAAGTATAGTTTTTCTCATCATTTTCAAACAGATAGTCAAACAGATAGTCAAACAGAAATAACCAACCGCAACTTGGGCAACCTTTTAAAAAGTTATGTGAAAAAGAATATCAAACAATGAGATCTTATTTTACCTCAATAGTGTTTGTCTATAACAACTCACCAAGCCAAATCACTAGTTATAGCTTTTTTGTGGTGGTGTATGGTAAAAATCCAATCAGCCTTTTAAATTTAGTTCTTCTCTCTAATAATCAACCAGTTAGTGAAGATGCAAAAAAAAAAAAAATGGCTAAGGGTATCAAACGATTGCATGACTAAGTGAGCTAAGATTTTGCAACAAAATGAGAAATACAAAAAGACAACAAACAAGCATAGAAAAGATGTGGAGTTTAAAGAAGGTGATTTGATGTGGGTCAACTTGCGAAAAGACAGATTTCCTCTAAGAAAGTTTGACAAGTTAACAACCTAAGACAGATGATCCATTTAGAAATCTTCAACGTATTGGGGAAAAAGCCTACGAGATAGAGCTTCCTAACACTTATGAAATATTTCTCACTTTCAATGTTATTGATTTTCACTTTCAATATTATTGATTTGTCACCCTACCATGGTGAAAAAACTAATTCAAACTTGAGGACAAGTCTTTCCCAACCAAAGAAGATTGACACCGGAGTACCAATACATTTTACAACTTAGGTTGAGACTAAAGAGAACTTATCAAAAAATAAGATGGGTTTATCATTGGTCCAAATTCACTAAACAAATGTAGAAATAAGGTGGGCTGGAATATAGAAGTTATGTTTACACTAGCTAGAAAAGGAGATTATGAGATGGATAGGATTATGATATGGATGAACCTACACACCAAATATTAAGCATATTATCAATGTGTAAGGTTGTAATTTGCAAGAGTAAATGGGCAAATAAGTGTGTTCACACTATAGATTATTATGTTCACATGCAAATCCCATAATTTTAGGCAACATTTCAACAAAACAAGATTAAAAGCAATCCCATCAATTTAGCAATCCAAAAAAAGGCAATCTTTGAAGCTCCCATGCTTTGAGGGATGTTCCTGGCTTATTTATTTTTTGTTATTATTTATAGAAGGCAGAATAGAGTTTATTTTATCCTTAAGCAATTTTTTAAATTGTTCTCAAGTTCTGCATCTCTTGGGTGAATTTCCTAAAGTGGTGAACTTCTATATTTCTATATCCTTAATTAGAATTCTTAAGGTGATCTTTCTGTATTCCTTAATGTCTACTCTTGTTGGTGAACTTCTATCATTTTAATCCAATAACAATATTCTGTCATTATTCAAATTCTTTTAGTTCTCTTCTTTGTGAGTTTTTCTATTTACAATTAATCTTCAACAACTCACCATCAATTTCTAGCATCAAAACCTTCCACCGTGCATGGTTGTCATTCCCATCCACAACCTTTAATAACCCCAACCCACAACCCACCTTCTCCACGAGAAAATCAAAAAACAAAAAAATCTAGCAAAAAACATTTGCAGAAAGAGTCACCGACCAAAAATTCATCACCACCAAACTATTAATCCTACCACCATTAAAATCGCCCAACAACTCAATTACTATATTTAGTATCACGAAATCATAACTATCCCACACCACTTGCAAACCTACTCGAGATATTGCACGATAACACAAAATTAAACAAGTAAAAAAAACTCAACTTCAAACAAGATATAAGCCCAAACACCCATTACCAAAAATCAATCAACCAAAAAATACTCAAAACCAAAAATATATGAAACCTAATAATAGACAATCAAAATACAAAGAAAGCAATGGTGGTTGTGACTCACGTCAACGGAAGCGATGATCAAAGAATAAAGTTCTAAGTGCACGATTCTTGATTAAAATTTTGAGGTTGGAGAAAGTTACCATCAAAGTGTCTGCACATCATACAACTTGAACTGAGACTAAAACAGACTTATCCAAAAATAAGATGGGCCTATCCTTTGTCCAAATCCGCCAAATAAACGCAGAAATAAGGTAGGTTGGAATAGGAAGATTTGTGTTCAGACTAGCTGAAAAAGAAAAGCATAAAAGTGGATGAGACTATGGTCAAATTCATTAGAATGTAATCTATAGGAATAAATGGACAAATAATTATATTCACATGCAAATCCTTTGATTTTAGGCATGATTCTGCAATTCAATCTGAAAATCCCTATGCTATGAGGAATGTTCCTAGCCTATTTATTTGTTGTTATTCTTTGGAAAAAGCATAATAGAGTTTTCTTTATCTTTAAGCAATCTTTTAGATTGTTTTTCAAGTTCTGTATCTCTTAGCTATATTTTCTAAAGTGGTGAACTTTTATTGTTCTGTATCCTTCATTAGAATTCTTAGGGTGGTATTTTTGTATCCTTTAGTGTCTAATCTTGGTGGTAAACTTTTATTTCTTTTAATCCAATAATCATATTCTGTCATTATTCCAATTCTTGTGGGTTGTCTTCTTTGTGAGCTTTTCTTGTTTGCAGATACTCTTCAACATCTCAATCATCAATTCTCGGCATCAATTTGGTATTAGAGCTATGGTAGGTCGTTTTCGTCAAGCACTAACAGAAGAGATTGAAGCCAACACCAACGTTGCAGCAACTACCAATATTGACCCAAGGGATGCCCTCATAGAAGAGATATGGCAATCGATCATTCAACTATAACAACAGCTGCATATACAAGAAAAATAAGAAGAGATAAGGAGGCAAGGAAAAAGGAACAAAAAGCATGATAGAAAAGCCAATCCATACCATTGAAAACAACAGTGATTCTGATGATAGCACCCCACTTCACCCGCCGCAAGTCAGAGACTATCTACGTAAAAACCAACTTCAACCTAACATATTCAATCCGAAAATCAAGATTCCTGAGTTCGAGAGGAAGATGCAACCTTAAGAGTTCTTAGATTGGCTATATACGGTGGAACGCATATTTGAATACCATGATGCCTCTGAATATCACAAGGCGAAGCTAGTGACCATCAAACTTAGAAAACATGTATCCTTTTGGTGGGAAAATCTAAAGAAGCAAAGGGAAAGAAAAGGCAAGAAAAAAATTACAAATTAGGAAAAGATGAAAAGAGAGTTAAAGAAAAAGTATCTCCCAGACAATTTTCGATAAGATGTCTTCCTTAGGTTCCATAACTTGAAGCAAAGAGATCTTTCAGTGGAGGAATATATGACTAAGTTTGACCACCTCATGTTAAAATGCAAATTGGTGAAACAGGAGAAGCAAACTATTGCTTGGTATCTTGGAGGATTAAAGATTAAAATAGCTAATATGGTGTAGCTACAACCTTATTGGACTTTCAATGATGTATGCAAGCTTGCCCTTAAGGTGAAGAGACAACAAAAGGAGGCTCGTGAAAGCAACTTGAGATTTGGGTCCCAAGAAGGCTATATCAATAAAGGTGGCTCATCCAAGATTATTGTTCCTTTTAAACCTATTCCAAAGCAGCCCCAAAAGAAAGATGGAACCTCAACAACAAGCCTCAATCTAGTGCACAAACCAAAAGGTGTTTTGAATGTCAAAAGCTTGGACACATTGCCTCAGAATGCCTAAATAGGAAGATTATGGCTCTAGTAGATGAAGACTTGGAGGAAAATGAATAAGAGCTGGCTAAAGAGGATCAAAACCTTGAAGAGGAGGAAGAGGTGACCTATGGCAATTATGGAGCATCCTTAGACATACAATGCAGTTTGAGTACCGCACCTGCTAAGGAAGAAGATTGGTTGCATAAAAACGTGTTCCACACTTGGTGTATTGCTCATGAGAAACTATGTGATGTTATAATTGATAGTGAAAGTTTTGAAAGCATTGTTTCTACCTTTATGGTGTAAAAATTAGCCCTTAAGACAATGAATCACCCCAACCATATAAGCTGTCTTAACTGCAGAAAGAGAATAAAATCAAAGTTAAAAAGAGGTGTTTGGTTCCTTTTTCCATAGAAAAGCAATAAAAAGACAAAGTGTGATGTGATGTAACTCTGATGGATGCTTGCCATTTACTACTCGGAAGACCTTGGCATTATGATAGGAGGGTTATTTATGATGAATACCGCAACACTTACACATTTGTGAAGGATGGATGCAAAATCATTCTAGGCCTACCAAGGCCATGGTGATGTCAAAACCAACTAAAGGGGAAGGAAGCAGCTTGTTTACTAAGGCCAATTAGAAAAAGGAAATTAAGACAAGTGGTACTATATATGCACTAGTGTTGATTGAGGAGAATAAAGATAGTGAGAAGCCCTCTACAATGATACAACTATTATTGGTAGAATTTCAAGATGTTCAAGAGGAGTTACGAGTTGGTCTACCACCAATAAAGGACATTCAACATTGCATAGACCTTATCCCAGGAGCTGTTCTACCCAACAAGACAATCTATACGATGAGTCCTAAAGAGCATGCGAAGTTGCAACGCCAAGTTAATGAATTGGTGAGAAATAGATTGGTGCGTGAAAGCATGAGCCCTTGTGCAATCTCAACCTTTCTGGTGCCTAAGAAGGATGGATCATGGCACATGTGTGTGGATGGTAGGGTAGTCAGTAAAATCACAGTTGACTATCACTTTCCTATTCCGCACTTAGATGACTTGCTGGACCAATCACATGGAGCAACTATTTTTTTCTAGATAGACCTACACAGTGATTATCATCAAATCAGAATGAGGCCTAGAGATGAGTGAAACACAGCCTTCAAGACAAGGGATGGTCTCTATGAATTGATGGTAATGCCTTTTGGTTTATCCAATGCTCCTAGTACTTTCATGAGATTTATGAATCATATCCTTAAACCTTGCATTGACAGATATGCAGTAGTATATTTTGATGATATTCTGGTGTATAGCAAAGATGAAGACCAACACTTGAATCATCTACACCAACTGTTTTGCATATTGAGATAACAAAAACTTTATGCTAACATTAAAAATTACAGTTTCTTTATTTCGAGCCTTATGTTTCTAGGGTTTGTGGTGTCAAAGGAATAAAGATAGATCCCAGCAAGGTTGAGGCAATTTTAAATTGGCCAACACCAGCATCTCTACATGACATTCGAAGCTTCCATGGCCTTGCATCTTTTTACAGGCGCTTCATTAAGAGTTTTAGCTCCATTTTGGCTCCCATCACCAAATGCTTGAAGAATCAAGCTTTTAAGTGGACCAAAAAAGCCCAACAAGCTTTGCGCTCATCGAGACAAGGATCACTGAAGCTTCCATCTTGTCCCTACCATCCTTTGATCAAGTGTTCGAGGTGGAAATTGATGTATCCAATTCTGGAATAGGTGTTTTAAGTAAAAAAGGAAAGCCTATAGCACTTTTTAGTAAAAAGCTCAATGAAGCCAAGAAGAAGTATTCAACCTATGACAAAGAGTTCTATGCCATATATAAAGCTTTATTCCATTGGAGTCAGTATCTCCTTCTCAAGCCATTTATCCTATATTCAGACAATGAGACCTCAAAGTTTATCAATAGCCAACACAAACTCAATAAAAGACATACAGCTTGAATGGAGTTCCTTCAAGCCTACAACTTCACTATCAAACACAAATCGAGAACTCAAAATGTGGTGGTAGATGCTTTGAGTCGAAAGCACTCTTTATTGATGACTATGGCTGTTGAAGTTATTGGATTTGATGTGATCAAAAGGCTCTATGAGACGAATCTTTACTTTGGTCGAATTTGGGAAGAATGCAAGCAAGGACCACACAACTAGCTTTTGTTGCATGATGGATATCTCTTCAAGGCTAACAACCTTTGCATTCCCTCATGTTCCTTGAGACAGGCTTAATCAATGAGGCTTATGAGCGTACACTATGTGCACACTTTGAAAAGGACAAGACATTTGCTTTTTTGCAGGACAAGTTTTATTGCCTGAGAATGGGGAGGGATGTGATGAAACACCTTGAACGATGTAGAATGTGCCACATTGCCAAGAGTCATGGTTAAAACACTGGATTCTATACTCTACTGCCTGTGCCTAATGCTCATTGGGAAGATGTTAGTTTCTACTTTGTAGTTGGACTGCTTAGAACTTAAAGGAACAAAAACTCTATCATGGTGGTTGTGGATCATTTTTTCAAGATGGCCCATTTCATTCCTTGTACCAAAACTATAGATGCTGCTCATGTTTCTTATCTGTATTTAAGGAAAATTGTAAGGCTACAAGTAGTTTCTAGATCTATGGTGTCTGATCAGGATTTCAAGTTTCTTAGTCATTTTTGGCACACCCTTTAAAGGAAGCTTGGCACCAATCTCAAGAATAGTTCTTCTCATCATCCTTAAACAGATGATCAAATGAAAGTAACCAATCATAGCTTGGGCAACCTTATGAGTGTGGGAAAGAATATCAAACAGGGGGATCTTGTTTTACCTCAAGTAAAGTTTGTCTACAACCTCTCACCAAGCCAAACCACTGGTTGCAGCCTTATTGAAGTGGTGTATGGTAAGAATCTAATAAGCCCTTTAGATTTAATTCCTCTCCCTACTAATCAACAATTTAGTAGAGATGCAGAAGAAATGACCAAGGGTATCAAACAATTGCATGGATAAGTGAAAGCTAAGATTTTGCAACAAAATGAGAAATCTAAAAAGGCAGCAAACAAGCATCGAAAATATGTGAAGTTTAAAAAAGGTGATTTGGTATAGATCAACTTACAGAAAGAGAGTTTCCTCCAGGGAAGTTTGACAAATTACAACCTAAGATTGATGGTCCATTTAGAATTATCCAACGAATTAGGTAGAATGCCTACAAGATAGAACTTCTTGACACTTATGAAGTCTCTTTCACCTTCAATGTTGCTGATTTGTCATCCTACCATGATGAGAATACTAGTTCAGACTTGAAGACGTCTTTTCCATCAAGAAGAGATTGACACTAGAGTGTCTGCACATCATATCACTTAGGCTGAGACTAAAGCAGACTTATCCAAAAATAAGATGGACCTATCCTTGGTCCAAATCCATTAAATAAATGCAAAAATAAGATGGGCTGAAATAGGGAGATTGTGTTCACACTAGCTGAAAAAGAAGAGCATGAAAGTGGATGAGATTATGGTTAGATTCATTATTAAGTAATTTGCAAGAGTAAATGGATAGATAATTACGATCACACTACAAATTACTGTTCACATACAAATCTCTTTATTTTACGCATGATTCTAACAATTTAATTTGAAAATTCTCATGTTTAGAAGGATGTGCCTAGCCAATTTATTTGCTCTTATTCTTTGGTAGAAGGTAAAATAGAGTTTTCTTTATCTTTAAGCAATCTTTTAGATTGTTCTTCAAGTTTTGTATCTCTTAAGTGAATTTTCTAAAGTGGTAAACTTTTATTGTTCTATATCCTTAATTAAAATTCTTAGAGTGGTGTTTTTGTATCCCTTAGTGTCTAATTTTGGTGAACTTTTATCCCTTCTAATCCAATACTCATATTCTGTCATTATTCCAATTCTTGTGAGTTTTCTTTGTAAGCTTTTTCTATTTGCAGATACTCTGTAACATCTTAACCATCAATTCTCGACATCAAAAGGAAAAACAAAAAAAGAAAAAAGAAGGTGGTAGTGACAACCTACGACAGCGACAATGTCGATGAGGCACTCGAATCTGGAAAAACCCATCAATCTTCTTAAGGTTGAGTTTCTTGATTAATTATATAGAGAGAAAGAGATAAAAAGGAAATTGTCAAAGAAAATGAAGAAGAAAAGCAAAATTATTTTTTTGATAAATCTTTGTTCTAAAAAAATATAATAAAAATAAAAATAATTCCAAAACTTTGCAAAAAGTTAAAAAATCAATTTTCCTTAAAAAGTAAAAATTTTCAAAAAAAAAAAATTTGAGAAAAACTTTTAAGTATCAATTTTTTTTAAAAATAAAAAATTTTAAAAAATATTGAAAAAAAGTTAAAAGATTAATTTTCCTAAAATAAAAAATTTTAAAAGGTGTTTTAAAGAAATATTGAAGTATTAGTTTTCCTTAAATAAATATATTTCATAAATATTTGAGCAAAAAGTTAAAAGTATTAATTTTTCCTTAAATAATGCACCCATTTTTCCTAAAATAAAAAAAAAAATTCTTGGGAAAAAGTTGAAGTATCAATTTTTCCTTGGAATTTAAACTTTTCAAATAAATGTTAATTAATCCGACAATGAAATCTCTATAAAAGAAACAGTGATTTTCTTGTATACTTTTAAAGTGAGAATTCTCTTAATTTTTTGTCAAAAGTATTAGAGTTAATTGAGAACAATTTTCAATAATTAACTCTCTTGTGAGATTTTTTAAGGCTCAATGGATAATATGAAATCAAGCTGGTACCATCCTTTGATGGGCGTTGTAAGAGTGTTATAACCTTCCTCACATGTAACCGTACTCTCGGACCTAATTCTAGTTTCGTAGATATTGAATCTACCTTTTAAAGATACCTAAGTCAAGCTTGGGACTTCTTTTTAAAATGGAACAGATTTAGTTAGGTGACCAATCGCACCTAAACAAAAAAGATTGGTGGCCTTATATCAATGTCTAACAATGGATCCACGGATCTATACGTTATGACAGTTGTCAAAAATGCAAGGTGCACTCTACATGCTAGGAGAAAGTTCAAAAAAGTGCTCGCCCAAGTGAAGTAAGGTGCTGATTTCTAAAAGATAATATAAAGGACAAACAAAATTGCATGTATAATGTCTATTATTTTGTTAATAAACATTAAAAAGTGTACTCCATTACATGGCCTAATGTGTTCCAAAGATCAAGAAGTATCATAACTAAAGTCATCAAACAAAGTTCTAAGTTTTCTTCACTTCCATCTTTAACAAAATGTTGTGCATCAATAATATTATTTAATTTTTTATTAATGTAAATACAACTGATTTTTTTTTTTTACTATTCAAAGAATATCTAACAAAAGAAATTGAAAACTAAAGAAACAAAAGACACTTTAAAGTCGGGTGTGCTTTTTCTGTGCCTTTCACCTTGGAAAAAAAAATGTGCCTAGACACAGAAGCCATGTGTCTGATTAAAAGCGGTCCTCTAAAAGGGAACAAGGCTCTTTGCTTGTTTTACACTGTGCTTAGAGCCTAGGCACCTTGACAACATTGAAAGGAAGTATGCATAACAGTATAACACCACCTCCACTAATGACAGCCAGCAGAAAAAATTATAAACAAGTGATATAAGAATTCTGACCTGCAGCATAGGTGGTCTCAATCTTATTCTTTCTTGTGTAGCAATTCGGGGACCTTCTACAATGATTAGAGCCAACTCTCCGTGCTCAGCAACTGCTCTTGCCTGTGCTTCTTTTAGTTTCATCTCTTCTTTCATCTTTCTTGTTTCTATGTCTATGGGTGCAACTCCAGCATCCACAAAAACACATCTGAAAAAAGCAGCCCAAAAGATATGCATTGCACAATTATTGCTCAGCTTGTCCGCACTCTTGGCATTCCAGTAACTTTAAAAAATAAGGAATAGGTGCATTAACCAGCAAGAAAAGGCCCCTTATGAACAGCTTTCAATGCCTTGAAGGACTTAAAGACTTTAAATTGGTGTTGATGGTGTTGATTCCATTATATTGCTCAAAGGAGGAAATGAGGGGGTAAATTAATAGAAGTGGCAATATAGCTTTTTATGCCGTCAATTGTGACCCTAGAATAGGTATCAATCAAGGAATTCAATTCTATTTAGAAATACGACCCATAAAAGGCAAAATATTAGTGAGAAAAACCAATTATCCCATGCAGTGGGTAGTGCAATCTCTAATTGAAATCAATACATGAAATAATTCAAAATGAATTTAGTATCATGCAGTGAGAACTGTTGCAAATACATTCTCAACACTTCTACCATTTATTCAGAGTAACTAATAGTACAATCTTATCAAAATTTAATTACACGATGAAAATATTATATTAACATGTTCATCTTATCAAAATTAAATTACATGATAAAAATATTATATTAGCATGTTCCATGTAAAATTAGAAATTACAAAGAAGTTATACAACACAACTAGATAGATGTACTTGAAAGATATATTTGGTTATTTTAAAATACTTCAAAGCAATAGATGTAGTAGCTTGACATAAAACATTGATCTAGGACATATCAAGGGGAAAAAAAATTTTTCCTACTTATGGTTTATAAAGTTTTGGAATTTTAGGGTTTACAGCTAATAGTAATTAGGATTGGGGCTTAGAAGTAAATAAAGGTTCAATTCTATTGAGGTTTAACCTAAAAAGAGAGCTAGACAGGAAAGGAAAGGTGGCAAGGATTGTGGCTATTATTCTTGTGCCGCAAACAATAAACTCCATGAACAACCTAAATCCAACAAAACTACTCTTGGGTGGAGGAGTTAACAGAAATTATAATACTGCACCTTTGTAATGAAATACCTACAAACCATAATATCAAATTCTACATAGCAAATGTTGGAACTGCATAATGAAGAGTGAAGAATAAAGTCTTTCACTGCCTTCATCAGACAGGAGAAGCTGAATTGCAAAATTTTATATTCCATTATTCAGCAAACCAATGTAAATCTCAACTTAATGAGTAACATAAGTAACTTACCATAAACTTATTTGTCCATTTAATCACTTCCATTTCAAAGAGGGCCTATAACTAGAGTAAAGCATATTTTCATTAAAAAAAATTTACAGAAATATGCAGAAAATAAAGAGTGAAGAAAACCAGGAATTTCAATTTAATGTAAACAAATTTCTAAACAGGTAACTATATCATACTCAATTGTAGTTGGTGTAGCCACAAACAATTGTCTCCGTTGCCAAACAGCTCCAGTGGCATAGGCAATTGCAACATCTCCAAGGTATCTATACTGGGGGCACAAGGAACAGATGACAATATAACACTGATAAGCAAGAGCACAATACTCAAAACAGTTTGGTCCCATGCAGTCCACTCTGGCTGAGGGAGAAGACCACCTACTGCTTTAAAAGTCTCCCAACTGCACATTATAACTTCAATCAATTATTATGTTGATGAAAAGGAAATGGCATATTATCTTTGTCATCAGATGGTAAAATTAAAATACATGTAAAAGTGCAGTAGATATTAGGCAACACATTTCTCAAAGCACTCATTCGGGACTAGGGTAACAGAACCTTTGGAACTGCTCCTATACAATTTATATGCACACACATACAATACATACACAGAGACTGGTTCAGGAGTTCAGTTTGAACAAGAGTTCATGGTAGCTGGTTCAGGACTCTAAAAATCTTGTATGACAAATTACCAAAAATATCTAAATATATATCCCAGCCAAAAATGTCATTTGGGTTCGTATCACATATATTCTCTTACACAAAGATAGATGGTGAAGTAAGATCAACCAAGTCCAGCATTACATTTACATATTTTGTATACAAACATTTTAAAATTCCACAAATTAGTCTCACAGGCTTGATGATGCAGACAACCAAGATGTAAGAAGAATTCAAACATAAATGTCACAATAAAATCTAAAGAGTCAAGCTTATGCTGTAAATTGATGGACAGAATACAGAAACACTGTCAACTTTCAACCTGAGGCATACCTTCTACTTAAAGGAGTTTTTGTAAGTCAGTTTTGGTAATTTCTTATCTTGGATCTCAAGCCCTCGTAGGTATAGGATTAACAGCTCTGAACAAAAGCATCTCAATCATTTCAATTGATGGAGGACAATCTCACAGTTTCAGCAATTATGCTTTCTTTACGTAAGTTTGAATCCTAAAAAAAGGTATGCTACCCAGTATTCAACTAGGTTCAGAGAAGAGTAATGTAGACTAGTTTTCAAAGTCAACTATTTCGGCACCAAGTGTAAGCTCTCAAAACTAAAGCCATACATGATGCTTGGAAGCCCAACCAAAAGCTGTACTATTATACCAGACAGAATTATGTTAATGGCACACAGGCTACACAATAATTATTTTCACCTGAAAAGCTTAAAGTTTTGAGGCACTGCCTCAGTAGGAGATCTCTAAGAAGAAAATCCATCATCAAAAGTAGCAAAAGATCTGGTACTTCCAAATCCTGACAACAGCATAGACTGAATTGTTGATATAGCTGTTGCAGCATAGGCTTAACCCTACGAGATGTCGGATAGGCAACACCAAGTAGGGCCCCTCCATGCAGGCCAATGACCTAGTAGAGAAACTTTTAAGTTAGGAGAGGAGTCTAACCATGCACAATGCAGCAAAAATGGAGAGTACTAAGAAACACATCCAAATCTAACAATATGAAATCTTATCGGTACTATTTAATGCTGGAACTATAAATTTTTTCAGCAAGTCATTGAAAATCCCAACAACAGTTGGCAGCAGCTAAAATATCATCTATCCAATTATTTTTTCACAGATAATAAACACGCCTAACATGATCTAGAAATTCTCCCCTAGTGAAAAAAAAACAACACCATTTGTTGAAAGACAACATAATTTGTGGAAAAGATTGTCAAATATAACTTGGCACTAAGAAACCATCTCTCCTCATATTTGAAGAACCAATGCATCAAGAATTGAGTCTAATTATACTGAAATGAAGTAACAGTATACACTAAGCAAGAAGATTAAAATACCGGTTCACTTAGGCTACCTATGGACCCCATTAATATGTTTGAAGTTCCATCATCCAGCAAAACGCGAACTTGGACATTAGCAGAAGCAGCAGTAGCAGCTGCTGCTGCAGCCTGAGCTGCAGCTGCAGCTACTTTTGCTTTTCTTGATGAACTTCTCTTGGGGAGAATGGGCATTCTAGGAGGTAACGCAGACTCTGATATAGCAAATCTGTCACAACATGTATCCCATGCCAGAAGCCTTGCACTTCCTGAATCAATGGACCAATCGCTAACCTTGCAGATAGAGAAATAAGGAATATCAGGCCAGACAACTGCAAGATACCTGCACATAAGTTCTTCAGTAAGAATGATGCCTGTTATAAAAGTAGAATGGTAAAATTGCTCAGTATGAGAGTTAATGGATAGAGCATATTCCAGCTGAAATTTCTCTCTCCACGCATAAAATATGTGCATGCACATGGGAAAGTAGGATGCAATTATAGCTGACTGGTACAAGAGCATAGATGTTCTTTGTCTCTCTTCTAGGCTGGGAGGAGAGCAGAAGAGGAACTAACAGTCCAAACTAGACGTGATTAGCTTGTAAACAAACCCCAAACAAATTTAATGTATGTCTACATCCAAAATCATCTACTACACTTATTGTTGAAATTGGCACTCAATAAAGCAACAACAAATCAACAATTGTGTTGAGGCAAAAGAAAGAGTACTTACTTTCAAGAACTGCTTACTGAAGGAACTGAATATGAATAATGAGGAACAGGTGTACTAATGTGCTTTTTAATCTGCTTCACATGCAAGGGTTCAAGTGAATCTCCCTTCAACTTCCCAGCTTCAAATAAAGAGCCTTTATTTCCAAGTGATGGATTTGCTGTTTTGGACAGCTGAAAGTTTAACAGTTACAATTCCCTTTCGACAACGTAGACAGCAGAATGTTCTCAACTTCCCGCTAGCATTGGGGGAGGAACTACAGGAGGAAGAGATCTAGCATCAAATTCACTGACAATGATACCAATATTGGTCCCAGTAGCAACAAGATGAGGCTGTAAAGGATGTGCAAACATACAATAAACCTGCAGTAGAAACTTAAAAAAGTCAAAACAAGCAACTTTGGGAAGAGATCAGGTGGTGGGGACGAAGAAGGAAAAGAAACATCAAGCTATGTCAAAAAGAATGACAATCATACAAAGGCCAATTTCATGGGCAAAGAATAAATATAACATTTACATTTCAGAGCAAGCAGTAAATGGATGATATTTTTATGTTTCTAGTGCTTTAGTTTCTAAATTTTCAGAGATATTCACCAGGAATTTAAACCCATCTACAAAAACCAAAGTGTAGCTGCCAGAGGTTAGGCCAATGAGGTCCCAACACCTTCTTCTATATCCTTACTTGAGCTTCTTGTACAAGCAATTAGAATTTACTGAAAGAGCTGAAACATTTTCTTCTCTATGTAAATCTCTTTCTTCTACAGTTCATTAGTTTACGGATTTAAGTTTTCTGCAATATTGACACTGAACATAACATTAAGAGTGTATAACATTAAACTAAAACTACTAATTAAGTTTTATAAAAAATAAAATAAAAATAAAATCCTCACCAATGGAGGTTATAGGATCACAACTACAAAAACAGCCACATACCCTAAGTTTCTTGTTTGGTGCAACTACTTGAGGAGGAACAAGTGGAGACAGATTACACAATGGTCTTGTAAGTGCTGAATAAGTTGGGTGCTCAATAGCCCTGCAAAAAGGTTAAAATAGTAAGTATGATACCCTTGCAATAATTAAACAAACGATACTGCCTTGAATGGTCATTATTTACTGCATATAGCCTTCCACCAATATACTGTAACAAAAGCCAATGTATAAAAAAAAGACTGATAGATCTATTTAGTGGGTGCCATTGAGAAAATAAAAAAAAAATTAACATACCATATATAGGAATCTTTGACGCAAGTCAAAATATCAAGGTTAGGAACTCGAGGATGACACCAAGATGCTACACTATGACATGCAAGCTTTGGAACGTGTTTAATTTGCCACAACTCCCTAGCAGAGAAGCTAACAAGAATGAAAAGAAAAAACATGCCAACTCTTTACTGCAAAATTTCAGTTACAGGAACTGCTATTCACAACTGTTAATACTTCTCATGGGACAGTACAAAACCTGAAAAGAGATTGTGTCCCATATAGCCAATGCCTTTTCTGCACCGATTGTAATAAGCTGAGGAGCACCTCCAATCATTCTAGAATGCTCAACAGCAACAACTCCAGCATCATGTGCCTATTTGATATCATAAAAATGAAAACTTTCTCATAGTAAGTGCATCTAGAAAATATGCACACAAATAGGTCCAAAAAGTTTAAGTGAATACATAGAAGAGTTGTCATCACATGGTAGCTTGATGTTTCCTTGACTTACATTTTCAACAAAAGATTGCGAGTGGACTATATTCCCCCAGGATTGATACTGACCTTTTCTAGTCACTATAACATAGCTAATAAAAGAGATTAAAAACCATAAAGACCCAAAGGGTGCAGCAGGCCTTTTATGTGCCCCTTGCCTTTCTACACACAAGAGGCATGCACTTAATAAAAGGCACCTTGCCTGACGGGCTATGAGGTGCTTTAATTTAAGAAGGCAAATCAACAAGGTCACCTCATGCCCGCTACAAGATTATTGTTTTCAATGATAAGAAAAAGTAAACAGAAGTTACTGAAAGGTAGCGGCAGCAGAAAAACTCAAAACTGAGGAGGCACACAAATGAAATCAAAATGCTATGCAGGTCATCCAAGGATATGAAAAGATGAAAGCATTGGCAGTTAAAGCCAGCAGACGACATGGATTAGAAGCTTCAATTGTGGAATTTGGGCTCAGCAAATGATATGACATAAAGGAGTGCATTTTCTTTTCCACAATAATAAATATGAGTGCATAAAATATGGTGATGAAACTGATATTTCAAAAATGAGCAAAGTGAAAGATCACTGACCAGAGAAGCGAGTTGTTGTCAAGCTCTTGTTTGGGTACATCAAGGCCACGCATGGTGACCAAGTCCAAAAAGATGGCTTTATTTTCACAGCAGATGACAAGAAAATGCCATCCTTTTGTTGATGGAGCCGGAGAGGCAAAAGCAGAAGTAAGTTGATTGACAGCAGAAGGAGCCTCCGCAACCGCAGAACGGTTACGCCAAAGTTGCCGAAACCGCACGTCATCATCCAAAAAGCTCACCTGCTTAACACTTTTAACAATTGATCAAAAGAAAAAGGTCGACATTTCAAATTCACTTTTAAATTTTCAATCTGAAGAAAGGAAAAAGAGGGCTAAAAATGCACTACTCCTTATTAAATACCTACCTCCGCGGATGGCCTCTGTAGGTTTCTCTTTGGGCACTGTAAAATCAAATTTTCGTCAAATCAAATCAAATCAAACCCCAAAAAAAATGAAAATTCCAAATAGAAATAGATTGCGAACCAGATTCGCCCTCAGCAAGCTTCTCCAATTTGGCACACAAAACGTCTCTGGTCGACCCCACCGGCCTTCAGCTCGTAAATGACCTGGCGATGCTCCCAGTTCCATACGGAGACGTGATCAGAGGCATCGGCGGTTACCAGCCATGGATGAGTCGGATGCATCGCTATCTTCACAATCTTCTCATTGGTCGCTCGAAATGCCCTCAGCCGCAGCATTTCTCCCAGATCTGATCTAATTGTAAAACAGTAAAACAACTCCTCGACCATTCACTTGAAACTGCAACCAACAAATCTAGGATCTCAATTCAAATTTCCAATCTCCTCCAGAATTCCAGATCCAGCCACTCTCGGCTGAGTCCTGTCCCTACAGGTTTCCAATTTGCCCGCCCCACGCTCACGATTTTTCCTTTTTTTTTTTTTTTTTCTCTTTATTTTACGTTTTTACTTTTAACCGGAACTGCAACTAGAAAATATTTAACAATAAAATAAAATAAAATACTAAAAAACTCGCATGAATTATTTTTTACGTTTTTAAGGTATTTTAATAATTTTTATTATATTTAAATAAATTTTATTTTAAATAAAATATTAATTTACGTTAAAAGTTTATTTAAATATAAATTAAAGATTAAAAATTTTTTAAATTAAAATTTAAAATTTATTTATTTCAAATATATCTTAACACATCAAATAGTTATAACTATTTGAATAATTATTTCTTTTAAATTATTGTTATTTTTATTTTGTTATAAAATAATTGTTTATGTTCAAACAAACTTATACGAATTAAAATAATATTAATTTATTAATATTTTAAAAATTACTAAGTAAAAAATTTTAAAAGTAAATATGTTTATTGAAATAGATGAAATAGTCATAATTATTTATAAAAATATATATTTTAAATCGTTATGATCGTTTTTTTATCATAAAAATTTTTTTTTCAGTTTATATAAGCTATTTCAAAATAAAATAATACTTATAATGACAATCTCTAATTATTAAATTAGTATTATTTTAATCAAAATAAACTCAAATAATTATGCTTGTTTGTACATATTTATTCATAAAATAATTATTTTTTATGAGCTAAAATCAAAGTCATAACAAATTTAACAATATTAAGACAATTAAAGTCTTTCCCAACCATTTGAGCTCATGAAACAATTTTTAAATGATTTTGCTTATAAAATAATTTGGGTTCCGAAATAAATTAGTATCCATATAAAAGCTCGAAATGAGCAATCATCTGGAAACTATTTCATGAACTTAGACATGACAATCTTTATATTTTGTGCCACTATAATTCTATATAAGTAGAAAAATAGCTATTTTATACTAAAAAAACCATGCAAGGAACATGACAACCAATTATGTTCTAAACTTTACATGAATAAGCATATCAAAGGAAAAAAATAAAAAATAAAAGTGAAGTTATGCATGGGAAATACTCGAAAGAGAGTAAAATGAACTACCTTTTTTCTAATTTCCTAACAGTTTTGGCATTCTTCCTTTTCAACAAGGTCTTTTCCTTTCTTGGTAAGTTTTTCATTCCTTTTTTACATTGGGTTTATTTTGTTTTGTTTTTTCCTTTGTTAAAAGACCTCCATTTTTTTTGTAGCTTCCCCCGTTTTAAAACTCTCCACCAACCCCTTTAACTTGTCCTTTAAGTTATTTTATTCCTCTTTTCTTGGTAAGGTTTTCCTTTCTTTTCTATGTTGGGTTTATTTTGTTTTGTTTTTTCCTTTGGTAAAAGACCTCCATTTTTTTTACCTTCCACAATTTTAAAACTTTCCACCAACCCATTTTACTTGCCTTCCAGGTTCTTCCATTTTTGATTTTTTTCTTTTCCACCCCACTATCCCCACTAAGTCATTTTTTTCCTCTGTAAGTAGCTTACCAGCTTATGTTTTCTTTATCCACCTAACTAATTCATTTTTTTCGGTTGAATGTCCCCTTTTTTGTCTTACATGTACTCATGTGACCAAAATTAAAACAAAGCCTTTGCTTGGGCTCATTACATAATGACCATATTTGATCTATAAATAAAATAGCTTTGGGTCTATAAAAGGGCCATATTTTGTTGCGAATTCGGTCATGTAATGGGCTATCTTTGGGCTTTTTTTTTAGTTGTAAAATGGGCCTTGGTTAGGCTTTTAAACAAGCTTTTAAAAATGAGTTGCCTATTAGGCCTTAAATGGGCCATAATTGGGCCGCAATTCAAATTTGCAATTAGGCCCTAATTTGGGGTTTTAAAATGGTTTACATAATGGACCTAAATTAATGATTCTAGCCCATATTGAAAAACGAGTTTGGGTCTATCGTGTTAAAATGTTTCGAACAAAATTTGGTTTCTACAACCACCATGACACCCACTGGAGTTTTCTGGTAGTAATAACACTTGAATCTTAATTTTTCTTTCAACACTAACAACTAAAATAAGAATAACATGACAATATATTCAAAACTCATTCACAGCCAAGTCTAGAAAAAGGTTGATGAATTCACTCATATCTTTGCCAACGAGTCAACAAAACTATTAGCCTCTCTCTAGACATGCACAAAATCAACTTGTCCTACTACTTGTCTTAGCCAATCAATCTCTTCAGGTTATTTATATTGCCTCCATGGCCTATTTTCCTTTTTTAGGACTGAATTTATCACCACCTTTGAGTATGACTTTATAACCAGTGCCTTTTGGTTGCACCATGAGGATCCTACAAAAATTTGCAAAACTATTTTGATAGCCTCCAATTCTACTATGTTGGAATCTTGAATCCTTAACGGGCCATAGAAAATACCTATAATATTATGACATGCATCTCTAAGCACCCTTTCACAACCTACAAAGCCAAAGGGAAGTCGAACCCTCGACATTGAACTGTAGCACATTTTCTCTTGTACATTCACATTACAATCCTTCTTCACTCTATAGACTCGTTTCCATAGCGTTTTCTTTTGTAGGTCCTTCTCACCAATTTGTTTCCTTAATTTCTCCTCTTGTTTCCATTACTTTTATCCATAATAGAGACTTTAGTTTAATTAAAAAAAGAATCTTTTACCCTTCCCACTTTTTGTTTTGAAACACAGTCTTATTCTTAGCCAATCAAATATATCAAACGGTTGCACCATACACCGTAATCCATCTTTTTTTTTATTTTTTCACCAAATGGAATTCCTACACATTGCCTCAACATCTCCTCAACTCCTTTTAGAATTAACTAACTCAATCCCCACCACTTAAAAACTAACCCCATATAGCCAATGAGATTTGGTATAACAAAAGAATGTGTGCACCATCCTTATGCTTATAAATTAAATTATGAGATTCATAAATTGTTAGGTTTTGTGGTAGGATGATCACAAATGAAAAATTAGAGTGAAATTATAGGTTTGAAGATCATATAGTTCATGTATAATGAAATTAGATTTGATGCATTGACAATAAATATAAATAATGTAACTGATAATGACCAAAGCCTGACTTATTTTCATTAAAGTCAAGGCATGCCACACATGGCCTGAGCTCAAGCATCTAAATGCTTCCAAATCGATGCCTCATTGTCACATTATATAATACAGAGTGAAAGTTGCCAAAGCTAGAAAAGTAGATTCGCACACAATCGAATTTGCACTGATTGGTGAAATGACAAGAGGGGTTGCAAGATCACGCTATGCCAGGCCAAAGGTTCTGATAAAATTTGTTCAATTCCATTTCCATAATTACCGTTTATTGTTTCCGTTGAATTAATCTTGTAAGTTTTTTTTTTGGTTATGAGCTGATCATATATCCATTTATTCTTTCCCCAGGAAAAAAAAGATATGAAAATGCTGAAATCAAAGATGGTTTTGATAAGCAAAGAACAAAGAGCTGAAAAAAGGTTAGTAGACTGAGAAAAATTGCAAAAACACAGTTTGCTTTTGGTTGCATTTTTTTGTCTTTCTTTAGGCTGTTACCAAAACCTATGGAGCTCTGTCTTCACTGTAAATTTGGATTGGATAGGTTACATTTTTGGTGTTTTGAACTGTTCAAGACCCGACAAGGTCAAGTTCAATTAATACTTTGAACAAAAATTAACTTAACACGGGAGTACTTGTCTTTCTCTCCCTAAAGAACTTTGATCGATCCATGCCAACCCAGTTGGAATCAGAAATGGATGGTAATCAATTTACATTGGCTCCCAAGCCATACAAGTATAACAGAAAAATGCTAGCTCCATATAGGGTCTCAAGCTATACAATTAGTTTTAATTTTTACAAAAAATAAAATTTTTCTTTACAAAATATAATATAATTATGCATATTATCTACAAGGTCTTTGTCTTAATTACAAGAAAAACAGTGAGAATTTTAGGTCAAAGTGTATTCTTTATGTAGGATTGGTTCAATCTTGGTTTATTTATTTATTTTAATTTGTTCTACTTCATATAATAATTATGTTATATATTTTTATAATTATTTTTTATTCATTTTTTTAAGTTACATAATAAGATATAATTTCTTTTCATATAATAAATCTAGATATTCCCTTATTTTAGAATTCAAATCGAGTTAATATCAATTTAATATTTAACACCACCATCTTATAAAATTAATTAAAGTTCAATTATTTATATTGCAAATTCTATATCAAATTTTTATTTAATGTTTAAAAATTAAAAATGTAATAAAAAATAAATCTAACGTGTAACAACACATGATCTCTAATTAATATTTTTTTTTGGTCCAATGATCATTAATTAATATTAATAATACAAGAAATGTTTAACAATATCAAATTCTAAATAGTTTTATCTGCTTCTTGGAATTCAATCGAAAAATATAGTAAGTAAATATTTTTTGGCCAAGGAATTAATTTGAGCATTTCATCAAGTATCCGAACTTAATTACATGGTTAGAGGAAAGGAAAACAAAATCATTAATATGTTTTACGTATAAATTTTTAAATTAACCATTTGAACAAAAAAAAAATTCAACCCATATTGCATACATATGAGTTAAATTTATATTAGCTTTCAAATCTTGATTTAAATGACTTGATAAAAAATGGGAAAAAGAAGTTCTTAATTTACAAATCAAGTCAAAGCTTAATTTCTACAATAAATCACTAGAGATTAAAGCCTAAACTACCCTTTTTTATTGTTATTTTTCTCGAATCAAGTGAAGAAAATAAAATACATGTACTTTTCTATACATTGATTTACATAGCTATAGCTTCAATCCACACACTTTCAGGTCTTACAGGAAAGAAGGTAGAAATAAGTTTCCATTTTCCAGTGAGAAATCGTCAATCTCGGTGAGTTTAATTTCTTTCCTCCAATTGACACTATGAAAATTGCTAATATTTTGTAAGGATTACTAAACTTTTAGAAATTTTTATACAAAGAAAAAATTGTAACTTAAGGATAAAAATATTGTAAGAATTGAAATTTAAATATTTTAATATCATTTTTAAAAAATAATTGCATGAACTAAAATTTGATATGGTTGAACTGTCATGGTAAAAAATAAATATATTGAGCAAAATTTTAGGTAATACTTTTGATTTACATTTAATTTTAAAAAATAATAATTAAAAAATCTTAATTTTATATCTCCATAATCACCCTTAATTTAATAAATATTTCCCAAGTTTTTAATTGTATAAAAGAAGACTTTGCTAAAAAGCAAACCTACATGGCCTTCGAGCCCAAAATTTTATTGTCTTTGTCTTCTCTCAAATATGTCAAAATTTTAATAATTAAGGTCTAAATATTAATATGATTTTGTTGTCTTATGTGAAGTTTGAAGGCAAATTACTGGATGTAACTTTTCTTTTTTAATTTTGCTAATAGAAAACCAAATAAAGTAATAGTAATAATTGTTCAAGTTTTTAATAATTTAATATGAATTGTGTTTGCAAAATTATGTACTAATTATTTCATTAAAAAAAATTCTCTACTAAAGCATTAATTTCTTCTTTGTCTCACTTAAATTTATTTGATGGCCGTTTACAAGCAAAAAGGAAAAGCCCCATAGTTGTTGGAAAGAAGCTGTGACAACCTTAATCCAAGTGCTAGATTAAGTTGATGAAAATTAAATTGGCAAATATGAAAGTAGACACTAAGGGCTTAGCTGAGTCGTTAATGACAACAAATATAAAAACCAATCGGGACGAGAGTAGATTAGAATTACTGATTATGAGAAAAAAGCAACCTTAATCCAAATGCTAGGTTAAGTTGATGCAAATTAAATTGGCGAAGATGAAAATGGAGATTAGGGACTCAACTGAGTTGTTAATGATGACAAATATAAAAGCCAATCAAGACGAGGCTAGATGAGAATTACTGATTATAAGAAAGAATGAGCTGATGGATAACCATTCAAAAATGAAGGCAATTGAAGCTTTTCTAATGTTGGAGCTGGGTTTTCTTTGAATAAAAGAATAGGTTTCATTTGTACATGAAAGAATGACGATATGAATTGTAGATTAGCTTTGATAAATTTTCATCTAGGGTCAGTCTTAACGATCCATTATTGAGTTTAACCTTTCTTTTTATCCTAAAATCTCCCTTTTAGACCATATTTATTGGTCAATAAATAATGAGAATGTAGAAAACATATCTTTCTAGCATATTCATGTACAAAGTAAAATAAAAAGAGATAGCTTTAAGTTTCATTATCTTAAGACAATTTTAACTTTGTCTAATATTTTTGAATATAGAAGGAACCTGTTAGCCATAAGCCATCACAATTTGGACATGTAAGGCGCATGTTGAGATATTAGACATTAGCTTTCCTTAATACTGTGGAAACCCACACCCAATTTATATGATCTAAAAATCTCACAATTTTATCCAACAAAAAGCTCCTCACTAATTTGAGTTTAGATCTCTACATATATATATATATATCATATTATATTCACATATTATTTCAATGTGGATCCCACAAAAGGCACAATATTAAAATATTTAAATCTCTACATATATATCATATCATACTACATTATATATCCCTACATTGGAATGTTTAGATCTCTATATATATATCACATCATATCCAGATTTTTTTAATATGGATCCCACAAAAAACGCCTCACAAAATGTGAGATTAAAGATATCACAATCTTTTGCTTGACATTTGAGTTTAGATCTCTACATATATACATATTATATCCATACATTTTTTCAATATAAGATTGGATTTAGATTTATACACATATATATCATATCATATCCACACATGTAGATCTCTACATATATATCATATCATATCATATCCACACATTTTTTTTATTTTTCTAATGTAAGTTTACACTAATATATATCATATCATATCTACACATTCTTCTAATATGTGATTGAATTTAGATTTCTACATATATATCATATCATATCCACATATTTTTTCAATGTAAGATTGGACACATCATAATCTCCCTACCTTTAAGGCTTGATATTTGGGTTTAAATCTATACCACCTTTAAGGCTTGACATTTGAGTTTTAGATCTTTACATATATATCATATTATATCCACACATTCTTTCAATATTGGATTGGAGACATCACAATCTTACCACCTATAAAACTTGATATCCCTGTCAAGCTGAATTCAACTATACAACCAAGATCATACCACACATTAAGATTCTAGAGGTGACTCCCCATCATGTAGCACTTAGTGACTCCCATAACTATAATATTTAATGACTCCCATAATGTAATACTCACAGATTTACGTTTAAATTTTACATATATATCATATCATATCTACACATTTTTTTTATTTAAGATTGGGGGCATCACAAATGCCTTTATTCATCTTCAATAAAGATAGGTAACCATTCTTATCATCACACAAGGATTCTAGCTGCTGAGACCAGCAAAGGTAGCCGCATTAGTTACCTATTTTGAACAATAAATAAATTAGACTAATTAGGAAAATAAAAACATCTCCAAAGCATATTGCTTCAGTAATGAGACAATTGTCAGGGTTTTAGACATAGATATGATTCCATTCACAAATCAAAATAATTAAACTTGTATTGGGTAGGGTGCTCTAGGCTCGAGCTTTAGTGCACCGCTTAGGCGACAAGTGAAAACCCCCATAGCAAGCTATTGTGGGTGGACTTTCTCTCTAAAAAAATAAATTTAATATCATGTGAGCTAATTACCCACGTATCAAATATTAAATTGATAAAAATAGATTCTATGCTTGCTTTTAGCCAAAAGGCTGAGAAAGGTATGCTTTTGCTCTTATAAATCTACTTCTTTTGTAATCCTATTCTTGCTCCATACTTTCTACTTTGTGGTGTGGGATTTAAGTAAACCAACTATAATATGCCAACCATAGTGTGCACATAAAAAGAGAACCCTTCCTAAATAGGGTGTTTGAGGGCCCCTTATTCTTGTCATGGATCAAATTAAAGGACAGCCTAGGAAATGTAGAAATTGCAGATTAGGTGGCATAGTTGCATCTGGGGTTCGTATGTATGCTCTTCATTATAAAGTTTGAGCGTTTTCTTTTGGCATGAAAACTCCATTCTCAATCATGAGAGTAATTAAGAGATAATAAACCTGCAGTAGAAACTTATAAAAGTCAAAACAAGCAACTTTATGAAGAGATTAGATGGTGGGCAGAAAGAAGAAAGGAAAAGAAACATCAAGCTATGTCAAAAAGAATGACAATCATACAAAGGCCAATTTCATGGGCAAAGAATAAATATAACATTTAAATTTCAGAGTAAGCAGTAAATGGATGATATTTTTATATTTCCAGTGCTTTAATTTCTAAATTTTCAGAGATATTCACCAGAAATTTAAACCCATCTACAAAAACCAAAGTGTAGCTGCCAGAGGTTAGGCTAAAGAGGTCCCAACATCTTCTTCTATATCCTTACTTGAGCTTCTTGTACAAGCAATTAGAATTTACTTAAAAAGCTTGACCATTTTCTTCTCTATGTAAATCTCTTTCTTCTATAGTTCATTAGATTACTGATTTAAGTTTTCTGCAATATTGACACTGAACATAACATTAAGAGTGTATAACATTAAACTAAAACTACTAATTAAGTTCTATAAAAAATAAAATAAAAATAAAATCCCCACCAATGGAGGTTATAGGATCACAACTACAAAAACAGCCACATACCCTAAGTTTCTTGTTTGGTGCAACTACTTGAGGAGGAACAAGTGAAGACAGATCACACAATGGTCTTGTAAGTGCTGAATAAGTTGGGTGCTCAATAGCCCTGCAAAAAGGTTAAAATAGTAAGTATGATACCCTTGCAATAATTAAACAAACGATACTGCCTTGAATGGTCATTATTTACTGCATATAGCCTTCCACCAATATACTGTAACAAAAGCCAACGTATAAAAAAAAGACTGATAGATCTATTTAGTGGGTGCCATTGAGAAAATAAAAAAAAATTAGCATACCATATATAGGAATCTTTGACGCAAGTCAAAATATCAAGGTTAGGAACTCGAGGATGACACCAAGATGCTACACTATGACATGCAAGCTTTGGAATGGGTTTAATTTGCCGCAACTCCTTAGCAGAGAAGCTAACAAGAATGAAAAGAGAAAACATGCCAACTCTTTACAGCAAAATTTCAGTTACAGGAAGTGCTATTCACAACTGTTAATACTTCTCATGGGACAGTATAAAACCTGAAAAGAGATTGTGTCCCATATAGCCAATGTCTTTTCTGCACTGATTGTAATAAGCTGAGGAGCACCTCCAATCATTCTAGAAAGCTCAACAGCAATAACTCTAGCATCATGTGCCTATTTGATATCCTAAAAATGAAAACTTTCTCATAATAAGTGCATCTAGAAAATATGCACACAAATAGGTCCAAAAAGTTTAAGTGAATAGATAGAAAAGTTGTCATCACATAGTAGCTTGATGTTTCCTTGACTTACATTTTCAACAAAAGATTGTGAGTGGACTATATTCCCCCAGGATTGATACTGACCTTTTCTAGTCACTATAAACATAAAATTTTTTAATTTATATTTTTAATTATTGATTTATGTTATCACTTATGGATGATTATACAAATCAACTGAATGAATTCTTAAATTCAATAATAATCGTAATTTATGATTATGGTTGTCTTTTTTACCTGTTCATAGTAATATATAAGCCTGCATATATATATAGAGAGAGAAGAGATTTGTTTATATTAGTGTAAAATTTTTTAATTTATATTTTTAATCATATACATTTAAAAAATAAAATAAAATTATTTTAAGATTTAGCTATAATGACGAAACACATTAGACTCGTTTGGAATTCAAAAACATAAAGCTAATAAAACCTTTCGTTTCAAATTATTTAGGAATTATTGATTTTCATGAAATTTTTTAAAAAAATTGATTGTAATATATTTAATTTTTTAATTTTTTTATAAAATTAAAATTTTATGATTTTTAATGTCAAAAAATTAAAAAATTTTAAAATATAAAAATAAAAATTTTAGATATTTAAAAAAGATATAATTTTAAAATATTTAAAAAAATACAAAAATAACGAAACAAAAAAGTATTCCTTTATGGTTATAACTGTATATTTTTCAGTATTTTTCTAAGCTAATCTAGAACAAGATAATGGTAAGAGTAATATCATTACTCAAATACATACATACATATATATATATACACACACAGAAAGACTCATGTTATATGTGTATGTATAAATATTAGCATGTATGTATGATGAAAAGACATGTAGTCACAATCCTACATTTAGACTAATCATTGCAAATAGTTACTTGACTCCTATGAATTTACACAATTTCTTCAAATAGACAAACAATTATTGATCCATATATAGTATCTCCAAATAGACAAACAATTATTTTTATTAAAAAATATATTATTTATAATTATTACATTATAATTAATGAATCACAATTTAAAATTTTATATAAAATATATCACATTTATAAATAATAAATTTTTATATAATTTTTTATTAATTGAACAATTACAAAATTATAATAAAAATTACAAATGAAATGTTAATTTTTTTGCAAACCAATGAAATTTTATCCTTTTTGCTAGGTATAGGACTTTCCAGTCAAATTTTATCCTTCATATTATTGCACCGACCAACTATGACTCCAAGCAACATTTTCTTTTCTAACAAATACTATAAAATTTGCAAATTTTTTTCTTTTGTTTTTTTTTAATCTTTTACTGGTTTTCTTTGTCCATAACATATTTTAATATTTTTATTTGAAGTAGATCGCACAATTAAAGGTTCGATTGACCAACAAAAAAAAAAAGTCTACTTCTAATACAGAAAAATCAAAGATCATCATTTAGCTTTTAATCTAATCAAGTAATCCTCCAAAAAAGGTTGCCATTTTGTCTTTCTTTTTGTTATTTTTTATTGAATCTCTCTCAAATCATAGAAAATTTCTTTTGGGCCAATTTATTTCAAATATCGTTATACATTTGTTTTCCAAATGTCCTATATGAAACAACATCAAAAAAAAAAAAAAAACAAATTAGGTAGAAGAAAAGATAGTTCCTATTTAGACCTACTTATGGATTGATTCAGATCGGATTAGATTGGATTCAAGCATGATATAATATGATATTTTAGCATTTTAAGTAAATGCAAATCCAGTCCAACTTAATTTTTTGAACATTATTTTTTTGTTTAAATTCTTTTTTCTATATAATAATAAAGTTCAAGTCAGCCTAAAAGATTAGTATTTAAAATTAAAGAAAAGAGATTTTTTTATAAATTATTAATTGAACTAATTTAATTAATTTTAATTAAATTTATAATTCATTTGAGCTTGAGTTGAATTTAATTTATTCAATGTAACTTAAAATTGGATCATTTTTTATACAAAGAAAAAATTTACTTTATCATATTATAAGTAATAAAACAAATCAATCTTATTTATTATAAAAAAATAAAGCAAATGAACTTTGTCTCATTTTAATAAAAAATATTTTGTAATTTTTAAACCTATCTGAACTCAAGTCTTAAATGGTAAAATCCAAGTCCGATCCTATTTTTTTTATCGAACTTTATTTATTTATTCAGTCTCATTTAATGAGTTTAATATTTGTTAGCTTTTTAGATGAGATGATGATCCAAGAAGGAGGTGAATTATATTTCTCTAAATTTTTCTCAAACAAATGATTTCAATACTATTAAATGAGAATTAAAACAATAAGCACTTTTGATGAAAATATAATGCAAATAATAAAAATTAATGAACCTAAAATCAAATATAAACAACAATAAATTATAAAGAGATAGGGATAGAAAAATCAAATACAATGATTTATAGAGGTTCGGTCCTTCACCATAAGGCACTTACGTCCTCTTTTCTTGGTTATCCACACCAAAGCTTCAATCCACTATTGAATAAAAACTCTTATAATATACAAATCTATCTTGTATTAAATCTTTATCTTTTTTTAAGGTTTAGATAGCAACCTCTACCTTTACAATATTAAGATGTTACCTCACCTCTTGCTTACAAGATAACTAAAATAATTTTTGCAAACTAAAATACCTCTCAAGATTGAGTGTTTGCTTAATGAAGTACAAAGAAAATGATGAATAAAACGCAACAATATTTTGGATACAAAAAATACAAAGAATATTGAATTTAAGCTCTAAAAACTTTTGATTCTAAGAGAAAATGAAAATATAACTTGTTAACACTTGCTCTCTTGCTTCATCAACCTTCTTGGTGTGTTGGAATGCCCAATTTATAGAGAAATAGAGGAAATAGCCATTGGGAATGCTTGGAAAATGAAAAACTATGTTTTTTTTCCTTTGAAACTAGCCGTTAGAGCTTGTTTAAGACGAAGGGATCAATTGGTTCTTGAATTTCACTCAATTTTTAACCGTTACAACAAAATGTATCGATTGATTTTGGTACCCGATCGATTGGGTCAGCTAGGGGATCGATCCTGTAACTCAGGGGATCGACAAGTTGCTCTGTTGTATCCTATTTTGTACTTTACTCACTAATTCGATCATATCTTGAGTTATACAAATTCAAATCACAAACCGTTTAAGATTTAGAAACTAAACTTAAAGAGCTTTCTATCGATATAAAATTCATTATCTAATTCATTGTGTACGAATTATAGTGAATTTTTAACACTATCCATTGTGTAATTTTTAGATAACTGTAGAGTGTCTAGTAAAAATTCAAAATCTTTTCTTAAAAAATTTAGATTTAGATTTTGTTCTCTTCAAATTCAAGACGCAATTTAGCAAGTTTGATAAGAATAAGATGTAATTATTATATATATACATAGGTTTGAATCAATACATGGCATTCAAATTATTATATGTATATTTAATTATGTAACTATAATATTCAAATTTACTAATTACAATTATAAAAAATGTTATTATGAGTAACGTACACTAGCTAAACTTTTAAATAACATATTGAAAATAAAAAAAATTGAAAAGGTTTTACAAATCAATACACTTGCAAAATCTTTTAATATAATATGCTATCACATTAATTTTCTTGTAGTTATACTATCACATTTATTATCTAAGGTTGATTTTGTTAAAATAGAAAAAAAAAGTATAAATAAAAGAGGCTATAAATTAAAATATAATGATCAAATTTAATATTGACCTTATAACATACAGATAAATTTGATTTTAATTATTAAAAAAAGTCTAATTTTGCAATGTTCATTAAATAATTTTTTCCTCCCTTTTTTTTATGATTTGTAGATAACAAAATGAGGAATGTTCCAATTGCATTTTCAATTTTTTGTCTCAAATCCACGTGGGACTATTCTGTGTCGTTCGTGTCGCTTTGAGAGAAGTGACACATCTCACCTTGTCCATAGCCAAACTCCAAAAGATGAGTCCCCACCTGGGGTGATTACTAACCACATTTATCTAGGCATTTGGCATTTTTTATCCAGTAAAAAATTTCATTTTGTGATAAAATTTGTAAAATTTTTTATTAAAAATAATTTAAGAAAAATTTTAATAAAAAATTTAAACTAATAAATTAATAAAAATTAATATAAAAATTAATAATATGTAAAATATTATTAAAAATATTATTTATAATTTAAATTTAATCAATATTTATTTAATAATAAAAATTTTATCAATATTTTTATTAAAAATATTTATCTTAAAATATATATCAAAATTTATTAAAATTTTTTCAAATTTTATACACTTGATATATGTAATTAGATTTTTTAATTTTTATTTTTAATTAACCACTTCTGAAAGAAAATTTTTTGAAATATCAAAATTTTTTAAAATTTTTTAAATTTTACATAATTTATATTATTAAAAATTTTAATTTATTAATTTTAATTTTAATTTAATTACTTTTAAAAAAACTTTACGAATTTCAACTAAATTATTTCTTCTAAATCTTTTCCTTTTGTCCAATGCTAAAACCCAACCTTAAAATCTGCCCTGTTTCTTTCTTTTTCAATACCGAATCGCACCCCAATTTTAGCAACTCCTTTCAGCTCACCTTGTCTTTGTGCCGAATCTTTTTCCCAAATGGTTAGATTTCTATTCCTATCATTTCAGTTTCGTCATTTGTTTTTATTCATTTATCAACAATTGTCTTAACTGTTAGTGTGACTGTTAATGAATATGGCTTTTTCTGCTTTACTTGAATATCTAACAGGGTCCCTAAAAAGTCATTGCTCTGGCTCTAGAAATTGTGTTAGCAATAGAGAGACAGAAGAAATGGCCGATGGAAGAATCACTGAGGGCTAATCAACTTGCACTTCAAAAGAAGGTGAAGGAGCGTTCCATGCTTAGGAGAAAAAATCAGAAAATGCTTGCAAAAGAAGCAGCAAAGAAAAAATTGTTGGACGATTGCATGGCTTTCATTGGAGCGAGTGAGAATAACGAGAATGCCCAGAATTTTGATGAAAAAGCAATGATGAAAGCTATTGAAACTATGATGAACAGTGACGACGGTGGCAATGGAGGAT